CCCTACCCCTTATAATCTTACACACTGCAATCATGTTTCCCCCCTCAGTCTTCTCTGCTCTAAAGAAAACAATCCAAGCCTATCTAGTCTGTCCTTATAGTTCAATTTCTCCATCCCAGGCAACATCCCGGTGACTTATCCCTTTACCTTTTTTTACCCTCTCACTCCTCATCATCTCAGGCCCCAAACATAAGGTCAAGGAGAAGCAGCAATTTACTTGTATTTTTTTCAATCTATTCTACTGTTTCCAATGCTCACAATGCATTGGGGAGGTCAAACACCGACTGGGTGTCTGCGGATGTGACCCTGACATTCTAGTTTCCTGCCATATCTATAATGTCATCTTGCACTCATGCTAAGCTTTCCCTTCTGGCCTGCTGCAGTATTCCAGTCAAGCCCAAAGCAAGCTTTTTTTTTCATATTCACTAGTGGGATCTGGGCATTGCTGGCTGGTCCGGTATTTATTGCCCATCTCTAGTTGGCTTCGGGAAGGCTGGAAGAACATCTCCAATATTTTTTGCTTTTTCAGCACCTTACAGTCTTCAGGATTCAACCTCAAGTTCAATGAGTTAGGACTATGAACTCTGAACTACAATTTGATTAATCACCGCCCCCCACTTGGTGTCTTGTTTGCGTGGGTTTGCTCAAATTCTGCTGTCAACACCCACCATTAATGCACATTCTGCATATACTCCTACAGTCTCTGTTATAGAATCTTAGAGTCATACAACGGAAACAGACCTTTCAGTCCAACACATCCGTGCTGACCAGGCATCCCAATCTGACCGACTTGCATTTGCTAGCGTTTGGCCCTTATCCCTTTAAACCCTTCCTATCCATATGTTCATTCAGGTGCCTTTTAAATTGTTTCTGCCTTCACCACTTCCTTTGGCAGCTCATTCCACACACGTACCACCCTCTGCATGAAAAGGTTACCCCTTCGGTCCTTTTCAAATCTTTTTCCCTCTCACCTTAAAGCTATGCCCTCTAGTTTTGGACTCCAAAAGGCGTTGGCTATTCACCCTAGTTGTGATTTTATAAACCTCTTGAAGGTCACCCCTTAGTCTCCAACATTCCAGGGAAAATAGCTCCAGCCTATTCAGCCTTTCCGTATAACCTCAAACCCTCCAGTCCCAGCAACATCCTTGTAAATCTTTTCTGCACCCTCTCGAGTTTAACAACACCCTTCTTACAGAAGGGCAACCAGAACTGTACATAATATTCCAAAAGTGGCCTCACTAATCTTCTGTACAGCTGTAACGTGATGTCCCAATTCCTACACTCAATGCACTAACCAATGAAGGCAAGCGTGCCTAATACTTTCTTTACCACCCTGTCAACCTGTGACTCCATTTTCAAGGAACTATGTGCCTGCACCCCTTTGTCTCTTTGTTCGGCAACACTCCCCAGGGCCCTACCATGACCTGGAGAAGTCTTGCCCTGATTTGCCTTTCCAAAATACAATACCTCACACTTATCTAAATGAAACTCCATCTGCCACTCTTCGGCCCATTGGCCCATCTGATCAAGGTCCCATTGTACTCTGAGAGAGAGAACTTTCTTCACTGTCCACGACACCTCCAAATTTGGTGTCACCTACAAAATTAGTAACCACACCTCCTATATTCACATCCAAATCATTTATATAAAATGACAAAAAGCAGTGGACCTAATATCGGTCATTATAGCACACGGCTGGTTACAGGCCTCCACCACGACCCTCTCCAACCTTCAAGCTGAATTTTAGAACGTAGAACATAGAACAGTACAGCACAGTGCAGGCCCTTCAGCCCACGATGTTGTGCCGACCTATTATCCTGCTAAGATCAAACTACCCGGCATACCCTACGTTATACTATCATCCATGTGCCTATCCAAGAGTCGCTTAAATGTCTCTAAAGTATCTGACTCCACTACCACCACCGGCAGCGCATTCCACACGCCCACCACACTCTGACATCTCCCCTATACCTTCCGCCAATCACCTTAAAGTTGTGCCCCCTCATGATAGTCATTTCTGCCCTGGGAAAAAATTTTGTATCCAGTTGGCTAGCTCCCTCCGGGTCCCATCTGATCTAACCTTAAAAACTAATCTACCATGCGGAACCTGAATAAACATTTTGCTGAAGTCCAAATAGACAACTTCTACTGCTGTGCCTTCATCAATCTTCTTTGTCACTTCAAAAAATTCAATCAAGTTGGTAAGACATGATTTTCCATGTACAAAGCCATGTTGACTATCCCTAATCAGTCTTTGCCTTTCCAAATGCATGTAAATCCTGTCCCTCAGAATCCCCTCCAATAACTTGCCCACCACAGATGTAAGGCTCACCGGTCTATAGTTCCCTAGATTCTCCTTACCGCATTCCTTAAATAATGGCACCACATTGGCCAACCTCCAGTCTTCTGGCACCTCACTTGTGGCTATTGATGATACAAATATCTCAGCAAGGGACTCTGCAACCTCTTCCCTAGCTTCCCACAAAGTTTTGGAAACACCTGATCCGGTTCTGGGGATTTATCTACCTTTATGCATTTTAAGACCTCCAGCACCACCTCTTCTGTATTATGAACTTTTGTGTTTTTTTCAAAACAGCTCTATTTATTTCCCTAAGTTCCTCAACTTTCATATCTTTCTCCAGGGTAAATACTGATGCAAAATATTCATTTAGTATCTCACCTGTCTCTTGTGGTTCCACACATGGCATGTTGATCTTTAAGAGGTCCTGTTCACTCCCTAGTTGCTCCTTTGCTGTTAATGTACTTATAGAATCTCTCTGGATCTTCGTTAATGCTATTTGCCAAATATCTCATGTCCCCTTTTTGCCCTCCTGATTTCCCTCTTAAATATACTCCTACTGCCCTTATACTCTTCTAGCGAATCCTGTCGATCCCAGCTGCCTATCCCTGATAAATGCCTCCTTTTTCTTGACCAGAGCCTCACTTTCTCTAGTCACCCAGCAGTCCCTACGCCTACCAGCCTAGTCCTTCTCACGAACAGAAATGTACTGTCTCGTACTTATCTCGTTCTTAAAAAACCTGTCACCTCCCAGCCATCCTCTTACCTGCAAACAGGTTTCCCCAGTCAACTCTTGAAAATTCCTGTCCAATCCTGTCAAAATTGGCCTTACTCCAATTTAGAACTTCGAAGTTTTTGATCAGTTCTATCCTTTTCCATCACTATTTTAAAACTAATAGAATTATGATCATTTGGCACAAAGTGTTCCCCCATTGATACCTCAGTCACTTGCCCTGCCTTATTTCCCAACAGAAGGTTAAGTCAAAGTTATAGAGCTGTACAGCTCTATAAACAGACCCTTCGGTCCAACTCGTCCATGCTGACCAGAAATCCTAAGTTAATATTGCTCCTACTCTAGTAGGTACCGGTTTGTTCAATCTTGTATTACTTGTTACTTTGGTTACACCCTCAGCATGTAACTCTTATATGTTATTCCAGTCATTTTGTTTGTCTCCAGCACCAACTTATTTTATTTAACTTCTTGTAATTACCTCTCTGCTTCATTTAATTGGATTATAGGTCATCCCCTCACTCGTTATTCAGCTGTTGACACTTTACTCACACCGTCTGACACTCATGATCACCTGCAGAGACCTATTATTCGGCGTGTCACTACTCCACTCACCATTTGAATGATCTTTAGATCTCTGATTACAAAGTCTGTACCTGGGTGCTCTCCTCACTTCGCCTGACGAAAGGGCAGCGCGCTGATTTCAAATAAACCTGTTTGACTATAACCTGATGTCGTGTGACTTTTGACCTTGTCTAGTAGGTACATCCACTTATTGAATAAGAAAGTTTTCTTGTACACACAAATTCCTCCCCATCCAAGCCCTTAACACTATCAAAGTCCCAGTCTATATCTGGAAAGTTGAAAGTCCCTAATGGTACAACCCTGTTTCTCTTACAGATATCTGAGATCTCCTTATATATTTGCTTCTCAATTTCCCACTGACTATTAGGGACCCGATATCACAATCCCAAAAGGTGATCATCCCTTTCTCATTTTTAAGTTCCACCCATGTAACTTTACTGGACAATCTCCCAAGAATATCGCCGACCCCCACCCCAACCCCGATACAGCCAGAATGTTCTCCCTAATCAAAACCATCTCTCACTCACTCTCACTCACTCACTCACTCACTCACTCACTCACT